AAAGGGTAGAAAAACCTTCAGTTGGAAAAAACACTTGTACATTCATGTTTAATGCAACGCTATTTAAAATCACTAGGACTTGGGATCAACCCAAATGTCCAAAAATAGACAATGGATTGAAAAAAATGTGGCATATGTACAATATGGAATACTACTCAGCCATAAAAAATGAGCTACTGACATTTGGTACAACGTGGATGAATATGGAAGACTTAATGCTAAGCAAAGCAAGCCAAACTACGAAAGAAAGACTTTGTGTGTCCCTGCTCAATATATACCAAATGTCTGTGCTCTATAGCAGAAACTTAAAGATTGGAAAGTATAATAGCAGGGAGAGTAACTCTAGATACTAGAAATAGTAAGGGAGGAGAAATAGAGGGTGGGAGAAAGGGAGGGGAACAGGGAAAAAACAAACAATACATTTAATTGACAAAAAATGAAGTTATTTGTTGATGATAGTGTATATGGCAATGTCTTTATTGTGACTTATATGTTCTGTATTCATGCTGGGAAAAGCCATGTTGTACCACTGTAAAGGTGTATAGTGATAAAAATGTAAATAATAAATATATATTAAAAAGCAACACTTTATTTGTTCTTTAATTATACATATATGTGTGTGTATGTGTATATATATATATATATCCTTTAATTATATATTATATCATTGGTATATAATGGTCCATACCAATGCACAGAATATCATATATGAACTTGAATATAATTTTTATTATTTCTTGTTAAAAGTGTAGGTCCCTGGACTCCATCCCAGACCTACCAAGTCAAAGTTTCTGAAGATGGAGCCCGCCCAGCAATGTGCACATTCAACAAGCTCCCTGCAGAAACCAGGGATCACTGAAGGATGAAATATACTTAAAACTAGTCCATTTGCTTGTGTTTGTACAAGAACTGAGGTCCAGCAATGTTATAATATTAGTCTAAGATCTCTAATTAATTAGAACTTCTAAAATTAAAAATACAATGTAAAAACACAAAGATACATGAAAAATAGCTGGTAGTCATTCCAAATATCACCATACTAATGCAAATATTTTTACATTTACATATTACTTTGTTCATGAACATGCAGACTTTTGCTTAATGGTAATCCCATAATATTTCCCTACTATTTCTCTTAAAATTATTATATGACAATTTTGTTCTAATTCTCTAGGCTTCATCTTTATCATCTTAGTGAATGAATACTATTCAGTTTTATGTTTTACAAAATCATCACCTAATTTCATGCATGTACTTTAATTCTGAAGTTTTTTTCTTACAGGTAATATTGCAATAGCCATTTTTTTTCTACTGAGTCAGATAATATTGTCTCAGCTTTGATTCTTTGTACATATTTTCATATAATCCCAGAGGAATTTTAAATTAGTTTATGTTCATCCTCTCCTGAAGTGAATAAATGTACTACTAACAATGAAGCCTCAAAAGCTGTATGTAAGATATATCTTCCATGGATACTACATATAAAATTTTACTTTATGTATTTATATAATTAGTGTATATAAGATTTGTCTCAGCTTTGATTCTTTGTACATATTTTCATATAATCCCAGAGGAATTTTAAATTAGTTTATGTTCATCCTCTCCTGAAGTGAATAAATGTACTACTAACAATGAAGCCTCAAAAGCTGTATGTAAGATATATCTTCCATGGATACTACATATAAAATTTTACTTTATGTATTTATATAATTAGTGTATATAAGATTTACATGTATAAAATATTTTTCTGTATTCATAGATACAAGATGATTTCACAGAGTTGTTTTGATTACTAACCTAACTGTGGTAAACGTTTTTATTATTTTGTTTCTTATCAATATTTCTTCCTGTATAAATTATCTGTTCCTATTTTTTGAGCTTTTATTATTAAAATCTTGGTTTCGGGAACCAGCAGTTAGCGTAATGGCTATGTCGCTGGATTCCCTCGTAGTCGACGCGGTTCACATCCCGGATCCGGTGACTTAGAACTCATGCTGGGTGCGTGTGCGTGCGTGCCCAAGATCCCGAGAGGAGAATGAAGGAGAAGGGATTGCGGCGTGACCATCCCCCCTGGGGGGTGATTTCTCGCTTTCTGTCTCTATGTCTCTCTCTGTCTGTCTGGCAACCACACACACCCTGTAGCGAAAAAAAGAAAAAAAAACTCTCAAAAAAAAAAATCTTGGTTTAATTCTTAGAAATGAATCTCCTCACTTGTGCTCTTGATTAAAATTCATTATTTTTCCAACATCTCCCAAATAATTAAGATGAAATATTGGGTGGATCTAGCCTTATACATGAGTGGAATAATTTGCACCTATAAATTGTGATTTGGGAGAGGAACTAAAAATATCACATTTTAAAATACCTCATATTACCCCAATCCAGAAATCTGAAGTTCATTCAGATTTTTCTTTGAAAACCTTTGAAGTACTTAATTAAGCTACAGTTATCATTAGAGGAGTAAAGAAAATTAAACTTAGTACATTAGTAAAGAATTAGATTGGCAGCTCAAGGAATAGTAATACATGATAGAATTTATTTTTTCTTTCCATTTAGTAAAGAGTTTTGGAAATACCCAGAAAATGGGAAGAAAAGTAATACATGATAGAATTTATTTTTTCTTTCCATTTAGTAAAGAGTTTTGGAAATACCCAGAAAATGGGACATTGTCTAATTAAGGCAGATTCTTGAATTAGAGCTTATTCTTGATAGTTGGCAGACAAGAAGAAAACACAAAGATACCAAAACTTATTGTGGGTATCTAATTACTGAAGGGGTAGACTAATTACATGTATGCTTTAGGAACAACAAACACTGGCACAGCAACACAGTCATAGAACAGGCAAAAAAGAAATTATTTGGAAAGTATACAACTGGAAAAATATGCATCAAAGAAGTCACCAGGCCACAAACCAAACTTTGTTCATCATTCTTTCACCTATTTTATATATTTTTTTAAAGTAAATCTTGATGTGTAGAGGTATTGCAAGATCCTACCTCAGCTTTTATGTCACATCCATGCCATTTGCCAACCCATATTTCTCCTACCATCTACTTTAAGCTAGCTTCTGGGCTACAGGTTTTGTATACTCTCTTAGTTAATATCATTTTTCAGTGTTATTTTCTAATCTTCCATCTCATGATGTAATTTCACAGCCTGGCTCTGCTATTAACTAGCATTCTTAGGTAGAAACTTTCCCACTGTCCACCTGTGAAAATCTTGCACATATTTCATGACCCAGCCCAAATGCCAGTTTCTTTATCCATGTTGAATGAACAAATTAACTCATAATCTGAGCACATAAAATTCATACTATCCAGTTTCATCTGTGTTCATACAACTGCCCAGAAATTATTTTAATTCTAATTCTCTAACAAATGCCACATTTATTTATTAATCATATATTAAGTGCCAACCACTTTCTTAGGTATTTCAGATATATTATTAAACAAAGGAAACTGCATTTTTTTTTATTTGGCTTACTTTCTAGCAAAGGGTATATACACAATGTATAGTCAACATAAATGTAAGTTACATGATTGAAGGCAAACGGTTATATGAAAAAAAAAAGTAAATGGGTTAACAGTGAGAGTGCAGTAATGGGAATTTTAATTTTAAATAGTGCAGTCAAAGTCAGTCCATTGAGAAATTAAAAGTTGAGTAAACATTTTAAGGGGTGAGGAAGTTAGCTATGTAGAAATCTGAGGAAAGAATGTTCTAGTAGATTCACACATCTGGAGGATGGATATGGAGGCAGAGCATTGATGGGTTGGGGAGATGTGGTGTTATCATTTGAAGATATTTTGATCAACTGGACTGGGGAGAAATGTTCACATATTGAAATGTTCACTTCGTAACCTAAATAATGTGATTGAATGTATATAAAAAATTAAAATAAAAAAATTTAAAAAAAGAAATTATAAAATAATAAAAAAAGAATGTTCTAGTAGAGGAAATGGTTAATGCAAGAACCCTAAGCAATATTCCTGGGGTATGTGAGGAACAGCAAGAAGGCAAATGTAGCTAGATTCAATTGATAATATGGTAAAGAAATTGAGATCGGAGAGAAATGAGACATATTATCTAGTACTTTTTTGGCAATTGCAGAGTAAAGTACCACGGATTCTCTGCTCCAGGTCAGAATGGAGAAGACAGGACACCACCCTAGATCACTTCCTGATCCTGCAATGAACAATCTAGCCAACTAACTTCTAGTGGTAATCAGTTCAAAACCAAGCAGCCTCCCTGAACTCTCAGATATTATATGTTTCAGTCTCTGATGAGGGCTTCACAGAGAGGTTTTTATCTTGCTACTCATTAAAGATCTTCCCAGGGACACATCCAGTAATGGAAGGTCACTCTGCTGTTGGGCTAACAACACAGGCCATGAAGAACATGTCTCTGGCATCTTACAAAGATTAGCATTTGGCACCTCCTGGAAAATCTTACCAGGGATATATTCAGGCCCAGAGGATTGCCTGCTGCCAGAAATTAGAGGCCGGTATGTAAGTCTGGATTGAGGGACCAGCAGAGAATGGAAGAGAAGGGACTGCAGTGTGGCTATCCCCCCTGGAGAGTGATTTCTCGCTTTCTGTCTGTCTCTCTCTGTGTTTCTGGTGAGTGCATGAGTCCTATAGCAAAAACCTCTCCAAAAACTAACTAACTAATTAACTAAGTAAACCTGGCTTGAGTATAATAGGCAAAGCTGGCCTCTGACCCCTTTTGGAGCACTTTGGTAGGACCATACCCAAGGCCTGAGGGTTGCCCTATCTCTCCACTCCTGCTCTTGATAACATGTGTAAGAATATCTTTAACTGTACTATTATTCAGTGTATTCATGCTGTGAAAATTCATTTTGCAAGCTGTAATAATATATAGCGATTGAATGTATAAAATTAAAATAAAAATGTAAAATATAAAAGATAAATAATCTAAACTTTAAAATATCTTTCATTTTCTAAACTATTGTGGTTTAAAAATAAAATAGTAGTAAACATACCAAAGGAGCATATCTTGGTTTTGGAGGTGGAGGAGGCATCTTGCATTGACAGAGACGTTTGACCTTATTTGATGGTAGAAATGGCTCACAAGGAGGGAGTGGTGGTCTTTCTCTTGATGGAGGAACTCTACCTATAGTTGTTTTTTCCCCTTTGTCTTTGAATGTAGTCTTTTTGTGTGAGAGTTTTACTCCTCTCTTTAGTTCTGGTATTTCCTTCCTTGAATCTGCAGATGTGGCATCTGATTCACCAATTCTCTTTTGAGCTTCAGGTTTCTGCAGTGACACTTCGGATTCAGCATCAGAAACGTTGGCCTTTGCAGGTATCTTTGGGCCTGTTTGGGAAGACACATCGGATTCAGCACCAGTTGATTCTCTGTCCTTTGGATCCTTGGCATATTTCTTTGAACCTTTCTTTTCCTTCTTTAATTCCAAATCAGATTCTGTTTCAGTAGACTCTACATCCTTCTTTGCATCCTTCTTTTTGTTATCTTTCTTTGAATCTCTCTTTTCCTTCTTTTCATCTTTCTTATCCTTTTTTGAATCCCCCTCAGATTCAGAATCAGCATCAGTAGACCCTTCAACCTTCTTGATAGACTTCTTTTTATCACCTTTCTTATCTTTTTTATCATCTTTCTTAGCATTCTTTGACTCCAATTCAGATTCAGCACTGGTAGACTCTGTATCCTTCTTTGCATCCTTTTTCTTGTCATCTTTTTTTGAAGTTTTTTTATCCTTCTTTGTATCTTTCTTTGCATCCTTTGAGTCGTCAGATTCAGCACCAGTAGACTCTGTATCCTTTGAATCCTTTTTTTTGTCTTTTTTTGAAGGCTTCTTATCCTTCTTTGTATCTTTCTTTGCATCCTTTGAGTCTCCAGATTCAGCACTAGTAGACTCTGTGTCCTTTTTTGCATCCTTCTTCTTGTCATCTTTTTTTGTAGGTTTCTTATCCTTCTTTGCATCTTTCTTTGCATCTTTTGAGTCTCCAGATTCAGCATCAGAGCTCTTCTTTGCATCCTTCTTTGCATCCTTTTTTGCATCTTTCTTTGAATTATTTTGTGAATAATTCTCTAGCCATGTTTCAAAATCTATGGATTCAGCACTAGACTCCTTTAAGTACATCATTAAATCCATATTTAAACTATTTTTTGAACAAGTATCTGATTTGGCATCAGAGTTATTCTTTAAACTCTTCTTAGAATCTTTCTTTGAATCATTCATTGTATATGTGGACACAGTATCTGTCTCTTTGGAATTATTCAAATATTTTTTTGCGTCATTTTTTAAGACTACCTTAGAATCTTGGGATTCTGGATGTTTTTCTGATTTAAATTTTGACTTATTATCTGCAGTATTTCTTCTTTTAGGTTTCTTGTCTTTTACTGTTTTCTTGGATTCTAGATTTGTTGTACATGGTCCTGTCTTTTTCTTGGAATCTTTCTTCAAGGCTATTTCTTTTTTGTCATCTTTGGACTTTTTAGAATATGCTTTTTCAGGATAGGTATGGGGAGTATAAGGATGTCTGAATGGAGCCTGTCTCTTGACAGCTAAGTAAATAGGTGGCCTCTGGAAATTTTTTCTTGAAGAGTGCCTTATCCATATATGAGCTGACTTTTGACCTTCCTCTGATATTCTTTTGTCATGCATCTGAAAAGATTGATTAGAATAATGATAAGTAGTTAAAAATGAATTGTATCTTTTTATATTGAAACATGGAAATAATTTATCTTTTCATTAGTTATCTATTTAAAAGGTTTAAAAATGAAATTTTCCTTTTTCTAAGTGTGTGTGTGTGTGTGTGTGTGTGTGTGTGAGAGAGAGAGAGAGAGAGAGAGAGAGAGAGAACAAGAAAGATAATTTCACTTTGGAAATAAGGTGACTTTAAGAAAAATTTTAGGATTCCCTTAACATTGGATTCATATCCAGAATGATATATATTATTCCAGGGATCATCCTCAGAATCAGTAATAGATTGCCTTTGAATTCCTGCATTGGGGAGATATTTTAGAACATTTTGAACATTCTTTATCCCCATGTTTGGTCAGAATTAAGCTGATTTTCTTGAAGTTTGTCATAACAATTCTTATGATTTTTGCAGGCATCAGGTGCAGCCTGATTTCTACTCCTCACCCTGATTTCCATTCTCTGGTTAAACTGAGATCTTGAGAACCACACTGGGAAGTACTTCCAAAAGAAAGCTCATAAAAGAAACAAATAAATGTTCTAGCTACATTGTGTAGCAGTGGTAAAATTTATTTTCAATTTTCACTCAAATATTTTTCAAATATGACTGATTTAAGCTTTATTTCTTATAATTTTTCAACTATCAGTAGAGTGCCAACAATCAAATGGTTAAGGAACAACCATAAAAGGAAGATTGAAACTTGAATTACTACAGATGTAATAAATGGCTTTTTTTTGTACAAATCTATTGTCACTTTATTATTTTTAGCAAAATATATAATTGTTATAGAGGACAAGAAAACTTAAGCTATAGAATGAAACAGTTGTGACAAATGACCATATGGCCCAAGAAGTCTAAAATATTTACCATCCTATCAAATAAATGGCTTTTAAATAAATATACTAATTGTCATTTTGTTATTGGAGATACTTCAACAGTATTTTGATATTACATTAATTTATTTACACATGCTGTATTTTCCTTTTGCTTATTTATTGGTAACTTTGCTTTATAAAAGCAGTAGAAAACTTGAATCTTATAGTATCAGTTATCCTGAATTTCAGATTAAAGAAAATGGGGCAGACCTGATTCATCCTAATCAACTCTAAGATTCAAATTTTAGATGCTTTTGCAGTTGGTAGACATTTACCAAGAGCCACCAGTTGCAGCATTAGGACCTACAGCTTGCCTAGCCTATTTGCTATATAA